AAAGGGAAAATGTCTAGAACCGGACCTTAGGATCATCTTTCCTAAGTAAATTCACAAGGCAAGTCACATGTATTGAAACCTTGATTGAACAATTTGATCATTAATTTTTTCAAGATGGGTGATAAGAGAATTTAAGTCCAATTTTATATAATATATGATATTAAAGAGATTTCGAGGCTTGGTTAGAATGTTTTAAGGGTTACTAATGAAACTCAATTTTATCTTTAAACCAATTGATGATGGAAGCAATCCTTATGCCGTAACATTCCAAAGGTTATTGATGAAACTTAATTTCATCTTTAAACCAATTAGGAATAATCTTAGAATATTAAAGAATTAATAATTGAATCATCTTTTTCCCTCACATGATGACTATTTCATATTTAGTCCCAAATGTCTTTCATATTTAACAAATTATTTATTTCTTGTGTTTTCGTTATCTTTTACTAGTAAAAAACATTAGTTGTCGTGTCAAAATTACACTTTTCTATGTATTTACTACAGTAGAGCAAGAGAAAAGATAGAGAATGAAGAGAGAGCTCGACCGCAGCAAAATCATTATAAGAAGATGGATGCACTAAAATGAGAGGTTGCTAGGCTCGATGCTCTATTGGAATAGAGTTTGCAAAACCGCATGTACTCCGAGATGATTGTCCAAAGAGAAGTTAGCCAATTATCTACTTTCCTAGAAATTTTCACCACCGTGCCATCACCAATCACTTAAACCGCCGCTCCAACCCCACCCCTCAACATGCCTCACTAAGAGCTCGTCAATGCCACCAATCATGTCAATCATTCTATGCTAGGATATATGTATGAGTATGCTTTTAGGTCTTAAGGTCTTGTTCTTGTATTACCTCAAACTATACAAGTATTGGTAGTGTCAATTGTTGATTTCATTGGTAAAGAGATGATAAAGGAGAAAATAGCCTCAAAACTTAAAAATGAGAAGCTCATGACCATTGAGGAATACTTGAGAACTATTAAAGATGCGGATGTGTATGACCCTTTCCTTAGTATGGATAGATACCCGATGCCAAATATGGTGATCCCTAAAAAATTCAAAGTGCTCAAACTTACCAAGTATATTAGGAGTCAATGTCATAAGACCTTTTTAAGGATCTATTTGAATTGAGAAAAAGGCTTTTTGGTGCCCAACCTTTCAAAAAAATGTTTTTTGGTGCCCAACCATTGATTTTCCATGGTTGACTACCCAAGCTTTGATTTTTTATTTGTTTTGGTGCCTAAGTTCACCTAAATCCTAATTTCGTCGATGTGTCCGATGATATCCGCCATGTAGTAGCAAACTTGTTGCCATATCAGCACCTCATACTCTCATGTAGCTATTGGCACTCAAATAAAAAAAACAAAAATCAAAGGTTAGACATTAAAACAGAAAAAATTAAAGATTGGGTTTCAAATATGTAGTTTTTTAAGAAATTTATTATCTTGAGATTACAAAATTATCCAACAATTTCTAATAAATATTTTTCATATCATACTCATGACTTTTTTTTTTACTTATCACTAGTAATTTTTAGTACTTTGTATTAGTTAAAAATTACCTTTTAAAAATTCTAAACCATTTTACATGTCTAAATAAATTTAAAATTATGCCATTTAATCCAAATATATATAAGGTCCAATTAAAATTAAATTAAAAAAAAAAGACATAAGATCCAATTATGATTTCCATTTGCATAACAAATGATTAGTCAATGAAGAAAGCTATAAAAAATAATAATTGCTTCATCTCGTTTAATGAGAAAATTGACCTAACATATCATGAGTGACATAACCTTGCCGTAGCCAATGACTTGCCAAACTTCTTATAATAAGCCGATATGGGATAAAATCGATATAAATAAATTTAATGATTAAGGTTTTTGATTTAAGCGTTTAACGTGCAATATTTCTTGTAAGCAATGAAGATAACGATAGAGATAATAAGTAAACTATGATTTTTAAATGAAAAAGTAAATGCATTATTAAAATTGCTTGTATAATTAGTATAATAATAAGAAAATATGCATGCATGTAATTGCCGACGTTTTTAGAATTTAAAATTATATGATTTTTAATATAAATGTTTTTTTGAGAGATTATATATATTATGAAAACACAAGAAGTGCATTAAATCTATTTATAATAAAGAAAAGATATATCACAAGTACAATAAGGAGATAAACATTTAGTTTGAGAAAACTAAAACAAATTTGTTGAGAAAACTATACTTTTGGCGTCTAACAATAAATATATATATTTTTCTAATTAGGTGCCCAATTTTTAACTTTTTTTTTATTTTAATGCCTAACTTTTTTTTTTTTATTTGAGTACCCATAACTACATAAGAGTATGAGGTGCCGTAGTTGTAGGGCTTAACTATCACGTGTTATTTTTATTATCACATGGCATATCTTGCTAGACACATTAGTGAAATCGGGATTAAGGTGAGCTCGGACATCAAAACAAACAAAAAATGAAAGCTTGTGTAGTCAATCGTGGAAAATCAACGGTTGGGCATCAAAACGAAAAAAAATTGAAAGGTTAGGTACAAAAAAGCCTTTGCCTCATTTGAATAAGGTGGCTAAGGTGGTACATAAAGAAAAGCTCGCTGATCCATTTCTTATTTGAAAGTCTAGACAGTGTCTACTCTCAACTAGTTTATTGATTTAGACCAGTCCAAAATCAAGAAGTGAAAAGATTTGATAGATATTTTCATGAGGCATTACAAGTTTAACTTGGAAATAATGCTTGATAGATCGAGCTTACGATCTATGAAAAAAGGCTCAAAGGAATTTGTAAGAGAATATGCCCAAAGATAGCGAGAAACAACTTTTCGTATTCATTCATCTTTTCTTGAAAAAGAATTGGTTATTCTTTTTTAAAAAAACCTTCAAAGCTCCATACTAAGACACTACCTACTATGTAATAGATCAAATAACTTTGTTGAGATAGTGTATGTTACTAATCGGATTAAATAAGCTATTAAGTCAAGAAGGATAGCCGATCATTCAAAATCTACATATGAAAAGAGTAACTTTGACAAAAAAAAGAGAATCAAAAGCGCATCGGATTAGAGAATCTCCTTTTAATCTTAAAGGGCGATAGAATAATTCATGGAGGAATAACAATCAATCTGTCCCTTAAAACAATATGGTCAACCCGGGTTCATAGTTTATAATCCCTACGAATGCCTTAATGATGATGATTACAAGAAATAACCGTGTAATTCCCGTAAATTTATTTTCATTGTATTTCATTTAAGGGAAAAACTTTGTTTCTTTCTTATCATTCTACCTATCATCTCATAACAAGCTAGTTGGAGTGCATACTTTGAATTTTTTGCTTTTCACAATTGAATGTGTCAACATTTATTTTTACCAATTAAGTTATTCATTTGTTAATAATAACACAATAAAAGTTTTTCATAATGTATAAAGGATGAAGACTATTAGGTGTTTTTGGCGTGATGTTATTTAATTTACATAAAATGTAACCTAAGGCAGGGAGAGTAGTGAAATTGTTATCATTTTTCTACTTTTTTATTTTGATTTTTATTTTTTTGGAGTGAGAAAGCACACCTCATATTACCTAAATGTAGAGTAAATTATAAATTAGTCTCTCTAGTTTCGAGAAAAGAATTAATTATTTTTTTTAAAAAAAAACTAAATAATTACTTCTTAAATTTTTTAATGTCTTGTGACTTAATTTTTTTTCTCCTTTTTAATTTAATTTATTTGGATATTTTATTTAAAAAAAAGAAAAAAAAATAAAACATACCGAGAAAGATTGATGAGAAGAAAAAAGACATTTTATGAAATGAAGTAACAATAAATTAATAAAGCATGGTCAATATTGTTTAAGAAATTAAAAAATTAGTTTTGAAAACAAGGTGAAGTAATTAATTTGTTTCTTGAAAATAGATAGACTAATTTATACTTTTACTACACAACTAAAACATTTGACATTTTTTAACGAGTGAAATCATCGTTTATTTGAACAAGTAAAATCAAATTTCATTTTTTTTTTTTTGTAATTTTCAAATTGTTTCATTTTGATTCTTAAAATTTTAAAATAAAAATTTTAATCTCCTAACCGATGCATTACATGTCTTTTTTTTTTTGGTTTTTCCTTTGTTTTTTTTTTCCATCAAGCTATGTTTTTTTTTAAAAAAAATTTTTTGAAACATCATTTTTTCCTTTATTTTTTTCCAATCAATTTATGTTTTACTCACTAAATGGACTGTGCTTCCCAAAAAAAAAGTCACACCCAGGTTGTTTTTTTTTTAAAATTTTTTTTTTATGGAAGTCCCAACAAGCCTAGGGCAATGTAACGACATAATCCTCTTCCAATTTCTGCGAGGCAATCGATTCCTATTTACACTCTCCTACAGTCCTACTCATCTTTACTAATCCTCCTCAACCCTAGAGCGAAACCAAAATGCTATGCAAGTTCTTTTCTTTTATTGTCCACCCTTTTCACTATACAAGTTGTTTATATCTGCGAATATTGCACATAATCTTAGTTTTGTGAGCACTAAGGGGTTTATTTTCCACAACCCCATTTGCTTTTTATTTCCTACACTGGAATAAATTGAACAGTTTCAGAAAATTGCTTTAAGTGATATAACTTGGAATTGTATTAGTGTTAATACTCGTTACCCCTTTTCAATTTGTAGTTTCGTTTCAACTTCGGTAATTTTATCTGAAAAACCTATCCCTAACTCCACCCTTCCTCTTTTATTCTAATGGCCTAGAAAAAATGTATATTTGTAGTTTTAATTTAGCTATGTCATGTTTGTATATAAGGTGTACAACTTTTGAGACCCGTTAGTATGAAAGTATTAGCTAAAATTTTCTCTTAACACAAACTACAGAATATTAGGGTGGCTAAATCAAACCCAACCTGGCTAGTCTGCAATACCCTCTAGCTGTATCATTCATTTAATGACTTATCGATGAGTGTTGGGGATGTATGCCAAGGATTGTATGATTAAGATTTCCTGATGGGATTCTTCCTCATATCATGTCTTTCCTCCCCAATAAAGATGTGCTTCGAACCAGTGTCTTGTCCAAAAGATGGAAACTTCTGCTTGATTCTTATCCTAATTTAGATTTCATCTGTGATGGCTTTGTTGGAAGTGAAGGACACAATTACTGGGAGCCTAAACGTCATGCCAAAAAATTTCTAGAAATTCTCGAAAAGTTCATTTATTTTGTGGATGCATCTATTTTCAGTTTCTCTAGGCGCAACTAGCCAGAGCTTGCAAAAGTTTAAAATTTTCATTCTCCTCCCTAATATAGGAGTGGTTTTTCTTTTGGATCGATGGCTACAACTGGCTGATGCAAATGGCGTCAAGGAGATTGATTTTGGGGTTGATCTACCTGGTTTTGTTTACTATGCAGAACCTTATAGTTTGCCTCAAACTGTTTTTGTTGCTACAACAATGGCTGTTTATAACCATGATGTGGAGTTGGATGAGTTTTTCTCTATAAATTTGCATTCTCTTCTGAAGCTTTCACTTACGAAAGTTTGGATAAATGATCATGCGGTTAGGAAGCTTGTTGCTTCATGTCCTTTAATTGATGATATATCCCTGGATCGCTGTTCGGGTTTCAAAAATATTGATGCCGTTGGGGGGCTTCTTCAGCTCAAGAAGATTCAAATCTGCTTATACTTGGATCTAGTAGATGGCGTTGAGATCGAATCATGTCCGGAAAGTTCCCATTTTTTGTTCAGTTTACGTTCTGAGCAGCATATCCTCAAAGTGGATACCTGTCAAAGTCTCAAAAGTTTACACCCCTCTAGTTCTTTTGTGACGGACCTGTTATTCCAACATTTTGCCTCAAAGTTTCCAGTCCTTGAGAGTTTGACAATTAGTGAGTGCCGGAAATCGAAACAGATGAAAATTTCGCGCTGGAGCCTTGAGAGTTGGGAAATCAGTTCTTGCATAAATATAGTGGATATTGAGATTGATACTCCAAATTTATTTACATGCAATTATCATGGTTTTGCTGTCCTCCATCATGTCAATGGCAACTTGAATTTGACCTGCTTTACTCCGTCAACATTCTTTGGTTCATGAAGCTAAAGAATCTCTAGTGAAGTTAAATCAACTTGTATATCTTCATATGCAAATTCCAGCCGCCGAGGTATGGAGAATAATGCAATTCACAGGTAACATCTGCTTAGTTAAGTAGTTCTTGTCCTCAAAAGTGCTTGGTGGATGGTGCATTTTCCATTTTAATTTCTACCCTCAAACGGTTCTATATGTAAACTGCTTATGATTTTACTGACGCTTCATGACATAATTTATATCTTAAATTTGTAACGAGTACGTTCGTTTTGATTAGATTCCAGTTAATTGGGAAGATTTCAGGGACAGCTCTTCTCCTTATTGGATTGACAATTTGATCACAACTGAAGATTTTTATCCTTCGATATCACATTATGTGGTTCTTTTGGATTGCACCATAAGTTTCCACCATACCTTGGGAACCCCAAGTTTTTTCTCCTCCTATATGCAAAAAGCTTTTGCTTCTGTTATTTTATAACTGCACTAATCTGCATGACAGAGATAACCTAAGCAGATTTACCTATATTTCTTACACAACCTGAAATAAGGAATGAAATGGAATTCAAATTTCACTCGGCAAGAGGCAGTAAACTAGATGGCTTAGAAATTAAGGGCTTCAGGACACGGGATCCAATGTTAATTGAGAGACAATCCATAATACACATGAAAAAAAACACACTAACAACCAACAGTTCATAAAAATTAATTAACAGGGACCAAGAACACCAAAATGTGGAGCCAGTGCCTACACTTGCATAGCTTGGTTTAATCGCCTGGATAGAACATAAATACATCATCCAGCCACCCATCATATCCTTCATAATAATCATCAGTAAAATTACTGCCATCTGAGAAATCATAATAGGCACCATCATCAGACATGAAATCAATGTCAGAAAATCCAGAAGGGTAGTCTTCCTCATCAGACGATGTAATGTTAGGAACTCGTGTATCGAAAGGATAGTCATCAGTGGAATCATTGGGATACCGCAAATCTTTGATGCGTTCACTAAATCTTCTCCCCAGCTGCCCTTCCAAGATAACATTGAAACACTGGCGCACATCAAGCGATTCAAGGTGAGGACAACCATCAAGAATAGCCTGCAAGCCATGATTTGTCACCTTATTCCCAAACATTTGGAGGTGATGTAACCGAGGCATACTTTCTGCAATAGCTAGTGCCTCATCATCACTCTCTATACGTGGATGTCTGTATCCTGCGGTGTTTAACTTGAATGATTTTAATAAAGGACAACAGTGCCCAACTTCTTCTAGAGCCACCTTTGAGAATGAGCAGTATGAAAGGTCAAGCTCTTCCAGCAATGGAATTTTAGCAGCTGCTGCAATCAATCCCTCGTCAGAAATGTTCTGGCAAAATACGAGTCGAAGGCTTTTGAGCTTTGTTGATCTGTAAAGCAATAATCCAATACCACTGTATCATCAAATTTCAGCAAATTAACCCCATGTGCATTCAATTCAGAGTGAAATATTTGCTATGGGACTAAAATATGAAAGTTACAACTGCACCGTTTGTATCCGGATTCTTAAAGACCTAACATTCCCGAAATGTGACATACCAGGGCTGAGATTCTCATCATTTTTCAAGGAAAAGCAATTCCCCATTTGAGGGGGAAATGGGCTTTTTAAGAGCATCGAATTAACTAATCACAAAAAACACATTATCTATCACGTTTCCGGGAATTTGAGATTCCGTCAACCAATGCTGCTACAAGTCCTAAATTCGAAGGAAAAATGAATTCAACAATCCTCATACCAAACGGGCCCCCACGTACATACTGAAGAACTAAAGAAAGAATACATCTCCCAAGAATTATTGCCTAGAATTATCCCAAAAAGTTTTTTTTTTTTTAAACCACTAAATTGCAATTAAAAAAATAACAAAATAAGCTCAAGAAATTGGAATAATTTTGATAGAATTTTCAAGAATACCTATTGGCGATGTAAAGGAGGAGATCATCGGTGCCGAAATATTCGATATTGATCTGAAGCAACGCACCAGAACTGCGATCAACAGCATGCCTGCAAATTTTGACAATATCATACTCCATGTCCAAAATATTACCCAAATTGCGCATATCGATGGATCTCCACATGGAAGGTTCCTTGCAGATGTTGCGCCATGTCTTGCACACTCTCTCTACGTTTGCCAAGATGTCGATTGTTCCTAACCTCCTCAGGATCGACGCCATCACGTCATCCGGCAGCTCCACCCACTTTCCACATCGTGATCCTACTTCTCCTCCTCCTCCTCCTCCTTCTACTTCCTCTTCTTGCGGTCGGGCTTGTGAAAGAGAATAATCCATTTTTCTTGTGCAATTTTTTTTTTTTTTAAGGGTTTCTTTCCCGAAATCTTTTTGTTTCTGTTGAGGAACGAGGAAGGAACCCTTTTTGTGGTGGGATGTGTCTTCCGGGTTAAGTATCTACAACTAAATAATAAAAGTTATGAAATAACAAATGTTAATATGAATCGTTATATAATTTTTTTTAATATCCCACTGCTTATAATTTTATTATTAATAATCATAATTACAATTGATTCAATAACTTATTTATTTTTAATTGTAAATGAAAAATTCAAGATGTCTTTTTATAATTTTATTTTTAATCATATCCTTCAACTAATTTGTTCAATAATAATATCTTTTTATTCTTAATTTGCATTTTACTTTCATTCTTTTGACAAAAATTTTCAGTAGTTGCATCAATTTTTTATGACAAACTCACGGGATGCTGACATGTAACAGTTTTTCAAAAAAAAAAAATCCTAATAAAATTTGAAAAAAAAAGTCTAAAATACTCTCTTTTTTTACATTTATGTATAGAAATAAATAAATAATTTAATTCGTTTTTTCTTTCTCTCAAATTTAAACCAAAAAAGAAAATTTTTTATGTATTGGAAAGAACAAAGGCAATTTTATTTATTTATTTCAAAAATTTATTATAAAAATTTATTTCAAATCCAAACCCAAAAAAAAAAAAAATTATACAATTTTTGTCATAACATTAGAATAAAAGCAAAACGCAGATAAAAGAATAGCATTTTAGTATTTTGTAATAATTTTTATGTATGGAAAATAATAGAAGCAAATTTTTTTTATTTATTTGAAAAATTTATTATGAAAAATTATTTCAAATCCAAACCTAGAAAAGGATTTATGATTTTTTTTTTAATAACATAAGAATAGAAGAAAAAAGAAAATTAAAAAAAAAGGATATTTTAGGATTTTTTTTTAGAATTTGACAAAAAGAAAACAAAAACCGACAGATGAAATTAATTATTTATTTCAATAACTAAAGGTAGAGAAAAATAGGTGATTTTGGAATTTTTTTCAGATTTTTTTTTTTTTTGAAAAATGCCACGTGACAACATCTTGTGAGTTTGTCATCGAAGCTTAATGCAATTATAGAAAAAGTTGGCCGGAGGGATAAAATTAAGATGCAAATTAAGAGTAGAGGGATACAATTATTGAAAAAATTAGTAGAGGATACGATTAAGATAAATAAAACAAGATAGAGACATCCTAGACCTTTAATCCTTTTAATTATTCATAATCCCTTTCAATTCTCTTCTCAATTTTTAAGTCTATATATAACACTCTCGACCCGAGATATAGATAGGTCAAGAATATTACCGACGTTGATTTACATTCATTGATTGACTTACATTCGAAGTGTAATAAATGCAAATCAACAAACCTATTTACTTAATATTTTCAATTTATTAACAAATTGGGCATTTTCGTATGAGGTCCTTAATTAATAAGATATAATATGTCCACATTAAATAAAACTTTGGCATAAAAATTTTTAAAAATTGAACTAACATTAATTAATATTCCTACAATATGTATAAAAATATTAAATGCCATATTTTGGTCAAAAATCCATATTTTTGAAATCCAAATTAATCATTAAAATAAAACACCTTATATTAAATTAATTTGAACCATGTCTTTTATTTTTTCTAAATTCTTTTTAGAAATTTATATAAAATTTAATTTAGGATTATTTCATTTGCAAATATTCCATACCATAAACTAGGATTATTTGACATTATTTTCATATAAAAAAAATAATTCAATTACTATGTATTTCATTTAACTAGAAAATAATCAATGAATATTAACCATTAAATCAAGATTGAATACCATTATTTTTATAAAAATTTCATAGGCTATGAATTTATTTCATTAGTTCAATTAAGAATTTAATAAATTTATTTGGTCTCTTAACTAGAGTTTTGGCCATTTAAAACATTTTTTGGGCATGTGTAACTTTGATTCCTAATTTATATAAAACTTACCCATTAAATGCATTTATTCGTTAACTATTAATTTCATTTTATGTCTTTACCTTACTAACTCTCTTTGTCATACCATTTCAATTTCATACTTTTTTATCATTAATTCATCGCTTACTAAATTAAATAACCATTTAATTATTACCTTCATTCTACCTTTAATTAGTTCCTTTCATAACCAATTAATTCATTTAAATCATATTAATTAGCCAAGTGACCAATTCATTTACCAAGTTATGAAAGTAATCAATCCTTATCATAATATTAAAATTAGCATTTAAATCATAACATTTATTAATACAAACCAAAATTCAGTTAACTTGTTCCCAATATACATAACCAAAATTAAGTTAAGCAAAGGTAAAGTTTCTTACTCATTAACATACTAAGCACACAAAAAGACAAGTCTTTAACTTTTTTCGACAATAGTCTTGAATCACTTTCTTTTCTCCTACGCTATAAAAAAAAGGGTAAGCAATCCTCATTAAGTGTAATCCATGTAATACCGCACAAGATGCAACTTTTAGGAAAAGCTTTTCATACCTTTGAAATTCATTTTCCTCTTTGGGTGCACCCATCGATTGGGTATATAATCAGCCCTCTTTTAAAACATACAATTTGTGAAAAATCACAAAAAGCACTATGTACTTTTTCATAATATTTTTCATTTCCTTTTCCTAAAGAGAGGTGATCATTCCTCTTTCATAATCTTAAAAAAGTACCTAGCCATTCCTCTTTTAAAAACGTTTCCTTTCATCAAAATCATGAATGTAAAACCTCTTTAATGATTATGACGTGCGAATACATTTAAATAAAAATGCAATGTATTAATATAAACCTCAACATACATACTTTCAAACCTCAAGAATATGTAACATAAATAATACATCAAATACATGTTCCACATAAATTAAGTATGGATGCAAAACTTGAATAAGCGAAGAACATAAATCATGCTTTAAAACAAATCATGGCTGAATTGTTTAAGCAACATAACCAATCCATTTTTCACATGTACATAATCTTTTTTCATGCCATTTTATACCTCTAAACCTTAAAATTAATATTAACCTCAAATTAACCTTTCATTCCCTTGTTTCTCATTCTTGACCGAAACCAAGCTAATGGAAGGGTAACTTCCATTTCTTCATTTTACCTTAAATTTTAACCTCTAACCTCTTAACCTAACATGTTTTTCATCACTTAAATATCAATTAAGTTAAGTTAATTAAGAAATCTAAACTTCTTACTTGGCTGAAATTTTCTAATAAAGTGACAAAGTTTCGATTTTCCAATTCAACCACATAAACATCTATAAATCATATCATCGAACACTTTGCAAACATTAGGTCTTAAAACCACTAATTCATTCATACTTAAGGGTATCCAACCACCTTATTCCAAGAAAAAAGACAACGTCAAAACACATGAGTTTCACCAATTAATTATCCAAACATTAAGCTCTAATATCAACAAGACATAGACATCAATACAACCATCCAATTCAAACAACAATATAGTATATCTAACCATTTAACCATTAAAACTCAAACATTAAAACTTTAAATTATCATCAATTACATATCAAAATTAATAATTTTTTTTTATGGTATAGTAAGGATTACACTTGCCTTACTTAAAGCTTGGCCAATTCTCCTCTCTTCCTCATTGGCTTTCTTCCTCCTCTTCCTTCCAACAGCTTTGGACCAAGTAGTGTTTTTTCCTCCTTATTTTTTGAATCTTCTAAGATGATTTTAGCTTTTTTTAGAGTGTTTCTAGGCTAAGTTAGGTGGTTTGGAGTTGTGGTTGGATGATTTTCTTCTTGATTGGTGTAGTTCCTCTTTTAGGGTTACTTGAATACATATGGCTTGTAACCCTTTTTCCATCTTCTTCCTCTCCTTTTATAGCCATGGTTTTCTATTAAGATTAAGTCAAGTGTTTCACACTTGGTTTAATCTTAAGCTTGGTTATTAATGACTTCTAGATTTTTCTTTTTCTTCTTCATCTTTTCTTCTTTTTTTTTTCCTTAGATATTTTCCCTCTTAACCATTTTTCTTTTTCTCATTTTCTCTCAAATTTTCCATAATGCTCTAGTTAAAATTGGTCTCTAAAATTATTAATAAATCCCCTAAAATTTTATCACTTTATACTTTAGTCCTTAAACTTGTAATCTTTGTAATCAGCCCCTTCAATTTTAGTCCATAACTTCACAACTTCCCTCAATTTGGCCATTATCCTAGGCCTTTTTTAAGGTTAATTTTAGTCCCTAAAGTTACTTAATCATTTCAATCACATACCTAAACTTTTAATCTTTATGATTATGCCCTTATATCAAGGCATAACCATAACAATTAATGATACCAATCTCTAATTCAATCCTCACTCATTCCATTAACCTTCCCTTTTAATCATACTTATGTTTATTTTCTTCTTAATTAAAGTTTAAAATTTTATTCCTCACATTTAATAAATATTCCTTTATTAATTAAGTAAAATATCTTTATAATATATTTACATTCAAAAAGGATTTTAGGTCATATATATTACATCCTCCCCTTATTAAAAAAATTTCATCCTCGAATTCCTTAACAAAACAATTCTAGACATTTAACTCTTATTTCTTCCTCTCACTCCCATGTTGCTTCCTCCATATTATGGTTTCTCCATAAAACTTTAACGAGAGGAATTTGTTTATTCCTTAATTGCTTTATCTCTCAATCTAGGATTTGGATTGGTCCTTCCTTATAACTTAGATCAGAGTTGGAGGCCTAATGATTCATCCTTTAGAATATGGCTTATGTTCTCCATGTGTTTTTGTAACATGGATACATGAAATACATTATATATTAAGGAAAGAGATAGAGGTAGAGCTAGTCTATAAGTATGGTTCCCAATCTTATCCAATACCTTAAATGATCCAATGTATCTTGGACTTAGTTTCTTTTTCTTCTCAAACCTTATTACTTCTTTCATTAGTGCTACTCGTAGGAATACCCTATCACT